AAAGGTCTTTTCCAACCTAAATGATTCTATGATTCTGTGACTCCAAATTCTCCAAGGATGTGGGCAAGGGATGGGGAACAGGACAGACCCCTGAAATCCTAAGGGAATGTGTGTTCTGTGAATGTCTGAACAGTAAAGAACTTGGCAAATCTCTGATCCTGTGCTTCTCCTGGAAAAAAATGTGTTTTGCAGGGGGGGAGCATCGGAGTTCGCATCGAGTGGGACTGCGACCTGGATCACCCTGCTGCCCAGTGCCAGCCACAGTACTCCTTCAGCCTGCAGGACAGGAGGTACAATTTTAGGTGAGAATGCTGGGAAAGTGGCCACACAGGCTGTGGGTTGAGCACACGGCAATCATTTGAGATCTTAGTATTCCTGATGGATGCCCTGAAAGGAGCAGCAGGGACAATGGGATGTGGTAACTCAGCACAGGGTTTGTCAGTACTGGGGTACCATGGTAGTTCCTGCACCTTGTAGCTCTGCTCTGTTTGGAGCTGTGTAAGGCATTACCTGCCTGAAGGCAGGGATGTGTGGCTGTCCATGCCTGTGCTGACCCTGAACCAGGCATGCTAGGAGCTGCATGCTCCCAGTGACCCTGGGCTGGGTGCTGAGTGGATGCTGATGCCCTGCTCCTGATGCCAAGCTAGTGAGTCATGGCAGCACGTGCATCACCCATGTCCCAGCCCACTGCAGGACACAAGGTGTGCACAGGCACATGGTAGCCCCAGCAATTGTACACCACTGGCAGCCTTCTTCCCTCATTGCCTGTGCAGAGCTGCCATGGCTTTCTGAGCTGCTTCCAATGTCTCCCACAGAACTGCCTCCTACTACTGGGACTCCCAGCAGCAGCTCTACCGGAACCTGCTGAAGCTCTATGGCATCCGCTTTGACATCTCCGTGCATGGCCAGGTACTGTCTCCTCTACAGACTCTGCATGGGCAGTCCTGGCAGCCCTGTCACTGGGGCTGACTCCTCGCACTGCTCCCTGCTGCTCTCTCCTGCAGCCAGCCCCATGGCTTCCTGCTGGTGTCACTTCTCCCCTCTGGTGGTGAGCTTTTCACCTCTTCCCAGATTTTTCCAAGCAGAGCAGGAAAAAATGGTCTCTCTCATTTGAAGAGAAACCTCTTGGTAATGCCCTGAGCAGGGAGGCTTCCCTTGCTAAGGATCTGATATGTGTGTTGTGAAGTGGTGGGCCTTGTAGGCAAGGTGAGCTTGTCTGGGCAGGGGGCCTGTGAGCATCTCCGAGGGTCTTGTGGTGAGAGCACCCTGGCAAAGATCAACCTGAACTTTTCTGAACCTGGGCAATTAATCCCTTCTTGATTAATTGTACCCTCAGGGAGAAAAGGCATGGGTATGATCATGGCTGACACTAACTCTGTGCAGCATCACTGACAAACTCAATACTCAACTGTGCAAGACGGAGCCTGTGCTGAGAGGACTTGCCACCCCAGGAGATGTCCACAGCTGGTCTGTCATGCTTAGCAGTGGCCTTTTCACCTGAAAAGGGTGAAGCACACAGTGCAGGACAGGGTGCACCACTTCTGGGTAGTAGGACCAGGTCAGGAGGTGTGGAGCAGGAGAGAATAGCCGTGAGAGAGACAGGAACCCAAAAATCTCTTTCCTTAGAGATACCAGACTCATTTAAATGAGCAGAGAGGGACACATCACATCAGGGCTGTGTTTGCTGGGATGTATTTCTGTGGGTGGCGGCTACTGGGGTCCTACAGCAAGAGGGAGGGTCCTGCTGTGCCTGCAGGAGTAGGTGGGTCACAGTAACCTCTGCTGCCACCAAATCACGAGCTGCTTCAATCCCTTCTTTGACAGCCAGAGGGGTTTTGAGTCAAGGCAATAGCAGTCAGGTTCCCACAGCTGGACATGGAGAAATGACCCCGATTTCCTCCAGCACCTCCCTGGCTTTAAGCATGCTGCCCAGTGTCACTGTTCACCCACTGTCTTCCCCCTCCACCCACTGTTTCTCACCAGGCTG